TGTTAAAACCAAGTGTTAAAACCATAGGTTAAAATAGTAATATATGTGCGCGCTATCTTTCTATTCTGTGACGGTACTAACTCCTTGAACATAAGAGACAATAATCTATCTGAAGACTATTATAATATTTTTCTCTATTTAATCTGAAGACCGTACAGAAAGGTCTGATTTTTATAAGTTTTTGTTGTTCCATTTTTTAATTTTACCATAGAAAGCTTGTGGTTTCATAAACTATATACATATAATAATAATAATTATTATAGTTATAGTTCTTACTTTCATCATGTTAGTTGTTATCTTTCTTTTTGTTGTTCTGTTTGAGACTTAAAATTTACAGAATTACACAGAATTAATCTGGAAACTTTGATCTTTCTATCGAAAACTTTTTTTCTAAACGTAAAACATCCTAAAACAAAGCTTACAGAATGACAAATAACTGTAAACTTCGACTCCAGCGTGTCTAACAAATCAGGAATGATTTAGACAGATGAATCCAAAAAATGACAGAAAATACGATACGATGCCTGTGACACCTGTGAATTATAATGACACAACAGTCACTGTTACGGATCCGTTGTACATATCTATTTAAAATAATATGGAAGTTAATACTTAAGCTTTTTTGGCATATTACATACTATCCATTTGTTAAATAATAAATAACAATTAGAGATATCGTTATTAGTTTATTTCTTGTACTAATCGTTGTCATTAAAGTATTTAAGTATATAAATATAAACTCAAAAAACGGCTTAAATATACAAAACTAATTTTCTAAGTCTGGACATGTAAAATTTGTAGAAAATTAGTTGGTGTAGAAAATACGGTAAAATATATAACATTTTCTACCTATCCAACCCTGATTACGACGGCGACGCGACGGTCGAAATATTACAGAATTGTCACCGAAATGGCCAGGGTTAAGTCTTGCGATTTTTATCCTGTACTTATACAATCCTTAAACTTTCTTTCGTCAATTTTAATCCTAACTAACCAAATTAGTAGTATTAGCATAACCAACAATATACAAACTAATACGACAAATAAAAAGAACAGCGAGACACACACATTCGACTAGACGGCAGAGGCGTGTATCGCGCAGGAGGCCTATTCCCTACTACTCCAAATGCTGGGTGCGTTTCAGCTGTTTCGCGACGAACGAGCCGCAACACCACGTGGACGCCCTTAGAGGGCCGTGCGGCCTATACCTTCTCGGTTGCAAGGGCTGGGGTATAAGCTCGAGGCTAGAGCGGGCGCTCGCCAGTTTATTGGGCAGCTGCACGTTGCCGCCGGTTAGAATTTCAGCTAAGAGAGAAATAGGTTAGGGGGGCTGGACAGTGTGTGAGAAAAACAGTCAGTAAGGAAGCTGTCAGTTTATGAAAAATAATATTATAAAAAATATCTATACCTATATGGCGGATTCATCTCTCTAAAAAAGTCCTATATGGGTATTTCGCCACTGCAAGAAAATTTATAAAATAAAATTGTTATTTTTTGTATTGTATCTGCTGCGTTAATCCAACGGAGAGTAATTGTCAGCAAGATGTAATAAATGTAATAAAAACTTAAATGTAGCAAACAAAAACCGAAAGCTCCTAATTTGGAAACATTCGTAAATAACTATAAGTAATCAATGTACCTATTTCATTTTGCTGTTATTTCTAGAAATAAATTAATTAATTTGTTTTTTAAATGTTTTTCTTTGAGAGGGCATATTTATTTAAAGTTAACAATTTAAAAAACGTGTATCTAAATTATGTTCTAGCACCAGTCGAATAATTTAACTACATATAAACAATAACATACGAACACCTTTCAAAACACAAAATACACTTAGATCCATTTTAACACACACTAAACCAATGAACACTGAACAGTAAACAAATGTAATATACAAAATACCATGTGAATGCGATAAATTTTATATTGGTGAAACATCTAGACCGTTAAATGTTCGAATTAAAGAACATAAAGATTATTTAAGAAAAGGCGACTTTCACAAATCTAAGATTTGTCAGCATTAATGGGACACAGGGCACAGAATAGATAAGTAATTTAATAACGCCAAAATTATAATGAAAGAAGCGATAGCATCTAAAAGAAGAAGAAAAGAGGCTTTTTTAATACAATCTAATAAAAATCAATGTATTGCTCATGCATCTGTAGATGTTAGTAATGTATGGCAATCGCTTCTTTGAGTTTTAAAGAACATAACATAAATAAACATAACGTACGTAAAAATTAAAAACAAATTAAAAATAGCCATACAGAAAGTTTGAAGCTTTTTGGTTTTACCTTATTAAGTAGATGTAGAATGTAGAATGTTTAGGAGGGGAGTTCCCTTATTAAGTAATTGTTATCAGATAGTAATTGTTAATTTTGAATTTTAACTTGATGAATGTCATTTTAACAGAACGTCAACGGTTTTTGTAGACGTATCTGTTTTAAAAAAGCTAGTGTTCTCGAATAGTTGCATTTAAATAGTTTTTTCTTTGTTCTTTGTATTTTTTTGCTTCCGAGGACGGAAAGAGAGAAACTTTCCGAAACGTAAAGTATTTTTTTTTGACATTAGGCAAATTTGTTTATTGGTAGACCACTGCTGACAATTAGTCTCCGTTGGATTAACGCAGTAGTGTTTATAAAAAATAACAATTTTATTTTGAAGATTTTTTTTTGCAGTGACGAAATACCCATATAGGACTTTTTTGGAGAAATAATATTATATGGTAGTTCCAGATTTCATCAACTTTATATTCAAATCAACTAAAATTAAAATACTATAGCGTTGAACGAACTAAGGTATTATTTTTTCAGTAGCAATATTTTCAGAAGATATCAGAAAAATTCCTTACTGTAGAGATTACTTGTACCATTGCGATAAAAAAGTAGTACAAGAATTAGTAGTCCCAGATAGAACTCCTGGTCTATAAGGATATCGAGAAGTGGATATCGTCGAACAATACAATTATGCCACCTAACTTTTTAGGCGTTCCCACGAATTTAGTAACGTAGGTATACGTGGCGAAATAAAAGTATAAAAAATTACCTACCTTTTAAAAATGGACAATTTTTCATTTTTTTTTATTTGACCAGCAGATTAAATCATGATAATTAAATCATAATCTGACCAGCAGATTAAATCATATTTTGCTGTACTACTTTTTTTTGATCGCAATGGTACAGTTGAAATATTATAAAAAGACCAGAAGGGTAATAAAACAGTGAAGATAGCTTTAAACTTTTTTTTCGTCGTGTAGAACACGACGCATCCGAGATAACCGATTTTATCCGGCCTCTAACAGCTGTGAATGAACAGTGTGTGTCCACAGATTTTACATTCTTGTCATGGAACAACAGCACGACAGAGTTGCAGTTGCATCCATACTATCGAGAACAGGTATTCTGACTAAAATTTGAAGCGTTCTTTCTAGCTATTACTTTTCTAGTTTTATTATCCTTTTGGTCTTTTTATAATCTCTCTACCTTTGGATAAAAAGATTACGGAAGAAGTATAATACTATCCATGTGTTCATGCATTACAGGCGGAATCGACATTACGAACCCCCATTTTTGAGTTTTATTTGACGCTTCAATTGACACATTTGAATTTGTTTGAAATTTTACGGTTAAGTACATACCGGGTGCGTTTCAAAAGTGGCTACCCCCATAACTTATAATTTTTCAGAAAAAAACGAGATTTGGTATGTTTGTTATGGACATAAATTAGTTATTCAATTGTTTTTGGTCACTTCCTGTTTCACCGGAAATGACTATAACTTTTGATTTTTAAATGGCACCCTTGGTATATTTCTACATTAGTTGATAGAAAATGGCACTCTGAATAGAATGACATATCATATGTCAACTTTTGACCTTTTCGCTTAAAAACAAATCGTATTTTAAAGCTCAATCTAGAGTGCCATCGCTGTGTTAAAAACACTATTTTTTAATGAAGGAACCTTGGAAAAATAGATTTGATCTTCTAATGTTTTACGTGTCTTATCCTGGCCAGTTAAAAGATGCACAAATCGTATTTCTAATCATATCTCAATTTTTTCAAATGGAACAAGGGTGGCTCATTAGCATATTTAGAAAAAGCATTTTTTACGAATAATTTGGTACCATACACTTGGTACTTCGAGTCAAATTGTCGTTATGAGCCGCATGTTATAATTTCAAAGAAACCATATGCGAAAATGTCAAATGTTGACATATGACATGTCATTCTAATCAGTGTCATTTTCTATCGAATGAAGTAACAAAATACCGAGGGTGTTATTTAAAAATCAAAAGTTGCAGCCATTTCCGGTGAAACAGGAAGTGACCAAAAACAATTGAATACGTCAATCAATCTTAATTTATGTCATATATTAACATACTAAATCTCGTTTTTTATCTGAAAAAATAAAAAAGTTTCATAAGGGGTGAGCCACTTTTGAGACGCACCCGGTATAATACACGTTACGTATAGTAAAGCAACCAATCATTAAATTCACTTTGAATTAACTAATAATATTTGTCTTGCATTTTCGCTCATATTTTTACTACTTGTTAAAAATAATTAGGATACATTAATTTGACTTAGTTGTTTCAGTATCTGATATGCTCCTTCCTTAATTTTTTTATTCAAAAATCTCTACAGTAGTAAACATAATTATTACTAGGAAAAGTAAATATATTTCCATAACTTTACAGCTTCTTAGATATAATATACTTCCCGTTCTGTTGGAGTTAGGACCGATTTTAATATTTATTAATGGACTTCTCCGGATAATTGTATTATTTTATTGACTTTATAGAAGAAGAAAATATTGTTGATTTTGCAAAATTATAAAATCTACGTAAAGTAATATTAGAAGACACAATACCTGAATTCACCATACTCCTGGGTTTCCCCAACGAACAGTACGACTCTATCACGTCCAATATCATACCGTCCTCCGTATAATTTGTCGGCCTCCTACTGTTGTATCTCTGGTAGGGCCCGCCAGGTGCGGCGCCTAGCGCCAGACAAGGCCTCAGGGGCGGAGTCGGCCTCAGGCAAACCGCCGACCAACCGGGCCCCCTGGAAGCGCCGTGGGGTGGAGCGGGAGGCGAGGAGCACCGCGAGAGCAATCCTCGAGGGGCTCCTGCCAGGGTGGGAGAACTAGGGCTTAGGGCGGACACTAGGGGAGATGCCTGAAATAAGAACAGCAGAAGATTATTGTTTTCGTATGTCGGAAAAGATATAAGATACAAAATATCAAAATTAAGACATATTGCAACAAATACATAATGATTAAGTTGGATTTTTCGTGCATCCGTCATCCGTTGATACGATCTTTCGATGACGCTATGATTGCTCATATTGCTCAATTTTATATGTTAGCAATACGCCAATGGCACATAAGGTTAAATCTTTGGTATTTTTTAAGCCGTAATATTAAATTACGGCTTAAAAAATACTGGCGTGTATTTTAAAGTAAACGAGCAAGTCCAGGGGGTGATCGATGCGCATGTCAGTCAGTTAGAGACAAATGCTGCGATACGGTGACTACTTGTTATGACTTTGTCTGTCTTATAAATTAAACATAACTATAATTTTATAAATTCACATATTATTAATATAATCTAATATCAGAAGTGGGATTTTTGACTTATGTCCGCCAACGGAGAAAGTTAAAATAATTATAACTTTTTGTACGAGATCGGATGTTTTTTACAACTGTAACTAACCTTACTTTTTTGTTGAACATTTTGGGCATTTATCGCCTATCGGGAAGTCGTTATTCTCTTTTAATTTATATAATATATTTTACACTTTTAAGGAGCGGTAAAAAAAATAATAATGACTGGTCCTTGCTATAGCCAGAACTATTAGTGTTGTGTACAGCTTCAAAGGCGACAAAGAATACAAAATGTACTGCTATTGACTCTACAATAATTGTTACACCAAAGAAAAAAAACTAAAAGGCTTTTGATACTGGATATTTCTAGAAACTGTCAATACCAAGGCGCATATCATAATTTATTAAATGAAATGAGGTTAATTTAATTACTTAAGGATGGCCAATAAAACTTTCAGAAATTTCTTACTAATGAGTTGTAACTAAACAAATAAAATTGCATAAAATATACGACGGACAACGAATGACGGATGCTTGTAAACCCATACTAAACTGACGAAACAGTATTTCTAGCCTTAACTTGATTATATTTGATTGATCATTCTAATCCTGTAGTCGATAGAATAAAAATTTAAAAGAGTAAAGTCTTAGTCTATCCAACAAGATGTTCCCAGATTCCGTCTGTCATTTTAATTCACAGATAAATTGTAGTTTCTCACAATTTATCTGTGACTGACAGTGTACTACAGTACATTAATAATAGCATTAAAAATAACAATTAAATTATATCATGCAGCTTAGCTTTATCTGATATGCTATTTATAATGCTATGGGAGGTTATTATATAAAAACCCAATTAAATAGTGATATAAATTGTCGATGAATTTGAAATGATAATAAAATGTACAGGCAAGGGGGCAGGGAACACTGGAGAAGCAATGGAAAACAATTAGTCGCATTGTTATATCAAACCACTCTTGGCTAAGCTAGGTTTACCATATCCATACTAAATATAAACTTATTTTGGCGTCATTACATAAATATATTTTTCTATACACTGCTGTTTTTATTCATACCAAATAGCTGCTTTTTAAGAGACAAATCGTTATATTGAATATAATAATAATTTTGCAAAAATATCTAAGCTGCCGGTCAAGCTTAATCACGTAGCTAAAAGTTTATTTCGTATGAACTGTATTATAGTAGCTACCACTAGGTACCCAGTATATTATCAGTAGCCATTATCTCTTCCTTTATTTATGGTATCTATTGAAAGTGGTGGTACAATGGAGGCATATAGTGGAAAAGTTCAATGCTGAACTAATATCATTGTTTGTTTAATTTTACGAATAAGTCCTAAAAAATATTAGATTATAAAAACATTTCAAATAAACAAAACCATAAAAAAACAATTAAAAACGCCGATTTAAAGTGAATAAAAGCCAAGGGCATTATATAACATTCTTATAAATATTAAAAGAATTTGCCAATAAACACTAAGCAACACAAAGTGCAATGTTACATTATCTGCTCTTTGCCAGTTATATTTAGTATGTCTATGAAAAATATCAAAAAATGCGAACGTCACACACAGTGCACTCGCATGCGCCCTTGCCTGCAGCCCGCGACTTTCTTCGGGTCGTTTCGTAAATCCCTCGGACCACCGCGGGAGGCAGCTTGGCCTTCAACCACCAGTGCGCGTACAGACCAGACTTAAACACCGGAGCGTCTTCTTCCTCTTCTACAACCGGATCTTCCTGTACTTCTTCCGAACTATTCGAGTAATCCAGCAACGAACTGGTCGACTTTGATTTCTGCGGAGATGTTCGACACGTAGTCCGTAGTTTGGTGTCCCACTGTGACGGCATTATATCGATACTAGCTACGGAAGTCGTACGTAAAGAATCCCTGGTACGACTAGCCTCACCGGAAGTACGAGGCGTAGATCCGAACGGAGACGAACAAGGACATTGGCTCTCGAAGTTTCGTGCTTCGATATCGCTCAGCGTGATTCCCCCACCGAAGTTTTCGTATTTCTGATATAGTAAGTTCATCATGTCGTTGCTGTTCCGTTCCGGTTCAACATCAGCGGCGTTGCCAAGATCCGGACTGTTCAACGTACAACTTCCTGCCATTCCCGAGTCCGAAGAGCGAGGACTGTGGCAGTATTCCGAACCGCATCGACAGATTGATTTTCGGGAAGTGCTCGGTTGCTCGGGGTTTCCCGCAGGTCTCATATTCAGATATCTCGAACTAACGCACCTCTTTAAATCGCTTGGGTTGATTTGAATACTGCATCTCCTTTTCGGTTTGTCCGAGTTAATACTGTGTTTCCTAAAAGGCACGTTACTTTTTTCTAACTTCTGAATATCCGAAGTTCCGGAAGGAATTCTAGAAGAATTATGAAACATCGTCGGAGGCTTTATCACAGTTTGAGTAGATTGTTCAGTTAAATCTGTTTCCACACTGTCGCTTTTCGCGTAGTCCCCGTACAATAACTCCCCCACAACTCTATCAGGTAAAGGGAGTGTATTCACGGACACTTCCAAGCTGCTTGAATGCGTTGTGCTGCTGGACTGGCTGTTAGGCGGAGTTTCTAAAGGCTTACTACGGCAGAAAATGTTATTTTCACTAGTCGAATAGGAAGGAATGTAAATCGCCGTCAAGCTGCTCTCGTTAAACTTGTTTCCCACTAGTTTCGTAGGGCAGCTTTGTCGAGTCAAGGGAATATAACTATCAGGTACATTAAGTGACTGCATTTCGAAACTTTCGTTCAAAGTGTGCAGATTCTCGCATGCTAAACCCGGATTTCTAGGCATCATGCATGAACTAGCATTTGATTCCTCAGAGAGCTGTTTTTGTAGGAGATTAACTTTGGCAGTTGACGTGAGAACGATGCTAGGCTTCTTCGGTAGTTCCTCTACCACTCTGGGACCTTTAAATGAGGATACGCTTACTTCGTCAGGCTCGGAAACTTTATGAGGCTGTCCGTAGTCAATAAAACTTTCGTATTTCTCAGGCGGTTGTTTGGTTGTTCCGGATTTCGGGTTATAATATCGGATATAACCGAAAGGATTACTAGAATCACTCGAAGAAGCATTTGAATGTCTCTCAAACGCATTCTGTCGTCTGAGGTTAGTTTCATCGTCGCTAGAATCTGAATCTGTTTCAGAATCGCTATCACAGTTAATGACGCTGTCCCTCAGATGAACGTTCTTCGTCATTATCGTACATTCGGTCTTATGGTGCCTGATTTTGACTACATTCAGATTCCTTTTGTTTAAATGCTCCGAGTACAATAGGTTCCTGAGTAGCTTACGCGTTAAAATTTTGTCTTTGATTTTTTTGGATAAGAATTTTGTGAGGGAGGCGTATGGTGCTGCTGAAGGGTAAATTGCTGGTGGGTATGTAGGCAGGTATTTGAGTACAGTCCTGAACGCTAATACTGAAGATCGGTTACAATAACCTCGTGGATCTAGACTGGCAAGCTGTTGGGCAAAATGATTAATCAGGATTATTCATGATTATTATTGTATAACTACAATAATAATTTGAAAAAAGAATGAAAGTGGTAGATAATAGTGAATTCAATCCATGAAAATTATATACAATTGAGAGACAAAATAATTCAAAAGCAAATAGTTCTGAATATTAGCATAAATAACTGAATGTTTCTAAAGACGAGGGTACTCTGAAAATTTTTCGAACTTATTATGTAGACCAAAGACCTCTAACTTAAAGGAGACAAAACTATTTACATATTATCTAAAAATCTATTGTGACAAATTTCTGCGGATTGCGTTAGATCCACGGCTTGTTTGAAAACGAAGTATGTATGTTATTATTGCTATTAATGTATTTTTGGGTACCTATAGACAGAGCTTGCTAAATATATGGGGAGGTATATAATTTCAGTTAAAATACAGATTATACCTGTGAAAATATTTTCGTTAAAATACAGATAATATTTTCGAAAGTAACTGTGACAACGCTGCTTCAAGAAGACTGTTTGGTTTCTATAATTTTTAGGATGTTTTTATTACGAATAGTAAAAATGGCGCCCACTTTTGATGGATCCATTCAAATTATGTTTAACAGTATTGCTTCGCAGTGTTTGTGAATTTTGTGTTTTTCAAGTAATTTTTACTGTTCTTCTTTGCAAAAGAACTGTTTAAAGTATTTTTGAATATCTAAGACGCTTAAGCCAGTGTTTAGTTTGCATAAAGGTGGATTATTCTAGTCCCAAATCGATATTTTTTGCATCTAGGGCTGGAACTTTATTTTTCACAATAATTAGTTACTCAATTTACTACAGCTGTAATAGATTATATTTAGCTTAGATATATGATCTTCATTTCAGTAATATACATTAACATTTTTAAAATAGTTTATTTTTTCTACACATTTTTCCTACAAAGGTAAAAAACCGGCAACACTGTATGATTCTATTTATTTTGTCTCTCTATTTTGTCTGTCAGCCGGTAATTTATATTTATCTCTGTCGCACGCATTAAAATACAGACCACAAAGATGAAGTGTCCAGACCTTGTATTTAGTATATTATAAATCAAAATTTAGGTGCCCGGTGGCGTAGAGGTACAGGCTCGCGTCTACCAATCTCAAGGTAGTGGGTTCGAATCCTACACCCGGCATTTCATCAGCCGACTATTTTTATTAAAATAAAAATAGTTTGGGTACCTAGGTCGACTTAGCCTTAAACGAGTACTTGGGATTCACAATCCTGAGGTAATAATAGGCGGTTGAAGCGTAGTGCTAGCCACATTACCTTCCTTGTATACCGAACGGCTCTAGCATGGCAAGCTGTACTTTGCTACTCCCAAGGCGTCAAACATTAAAATACGGGAGCTATTGTTATTATATAAATCAAAATTTAAATTAAAATTACTTTTTACGATTGTTGATAAAAAACGGCACGCCACTTGTAGACCTAAACATAAACGAAACTAAACAGAGTTGTCATATTTATGCACTCATCTCTTTTAAAGTTGTATAAAAGTGTTAAGTATGTATGACTGTAAACACATTTAATGGTGTTTTATGAATGGAGAGTTGTGTCTCCCTTTTAGTTAGATGTCTTTGATGTAGACAACAAAACAGGCATGCAATAAAATCTGCAGAATTACAGTTTTCACATTATTTTCGTGAATATCTAAAGAGCCGTCTACACGTAACATTTTACCTGATCATTCAAAACGTATCAAATAAAACCATATGTGTAAATGAAACAAAAACGACGTTTTACTTGAACTGAATTAAGATGGAAGACCATCTAGAGAAATGACTTGATCATTCAGTTTTACAACAAAACTTTCGCCTACACTGAAAAAAATATAAATAAATTTAAAAAGATAATATGGATATATTACAGTCTCTTTAATAAGTAGTGACTCCTAAAAATTTAATATTTTTGCATAGTCTCACAAAATATTGTATAAAATTATTGTTTAGAGACTTAACGTTACTGATTTTCACAATTAGCTTTGCGTGTTTATAAATGAAATTTAAACGATAAATACAATTTTGTAGTAAAATTCTATATTGTTTCTTCATTTCAAATTCACTAAACACAATGTTATAATTAATAAAACTCAAGTAAATCTTCAAGTGTGTACCCTTGTTTTAACTCCGTTTTACCTAACGGGACAAAGACTGAAGACCTACTACAAAACTACCGTCAGATCACTAGAGGGTCTTCCCTTTTAACTGACAGGTAAAGCGTTATATACAGGGCTTAACGAAAAATTTGTTCGTTTTTTTTAACTGTAAAGCGATACAAAGTTTTAACTTACGTGCGGCGGCGGCTGAGGCACGTATTGAGCCTGGCTGGGCAGCACTTTGTGGCTTACAGTGGAAGAGACGGATGATCTTGATCCTTGTTGCCTAGTCAGGATTTCCACCCAATGATCAGCTTCCTCACGACTCTGACAGATGACAATACGTTTGTCGATCATAGGAGCGCTAATATCAAAGGCGTTTTTTACTCCGTCCGTGTCTTCTAAGCGGGTGACTATAAGACCGGAAAGGAATAACTTTCCCTAGGAAAAAAAATCCGTAGTAACAAATAAAGTATGATAATAAATAATTAGAACAGAAAAAAAAAGCAATTATTGTTTTTTTTCTATTCTGATTCCATATTTCAAATATACAATTGAAAAAAATTACGAGACCAAGGGGTTTCGATTTAAAATAAAGTTTTAACATGGTAGCGATTTTCTTTCAAGCAACCAAAGCCGTCTATTAAAAAAAAACGATTTTTCGTAACTTGTACATCGTTAGAATGGTAATGAATTTATCTATTTAGATTTGCAAATCTCTAATATGGCGTCTGTAAGAAAACAAAGTTGATGATGGTGGTCAAAAGACGAAACGCCGGATGACAAATCCGAAAACACCGTTGTGTAGTTAGGAAAAAGTGACAATGAAATTTTGCTTTTAGTTTTATTTTAGCCTAATCAAATGGCCGTTTTACGCCAGAAAAAAATAAAATAAAATTGAAATCTTCAATTTTAATTTTTTCTCGAATATCTACGAAACGACTCTGAATTTTAAATGTTTCTAAACGGCATATCAATGCACAACTTTGCCATAATTTAACTATCCTCGTATCTTCTCTAGTTTTCGAGATCTCAAGTTTCGAGTTACCCTGTATACATATTATACCATATAATAGAAAAAAGCGTCAAAGACGGGCGGGGAATAACGATCGATAATAATTTTGGGGAGGTTAAGCTCTAGACGTCATTTACTTGGCCCGTACCCCTCTTTATTTTTTATTGGCGCTTACTGCCAGTTGGTCTAAAGAAGGTTGTAACTTATTTTTATATGGAGTAAAAATAAAAATTTAAATGGCAAGTTAAAATTAATAAAAATTATGGCTTAATTTTATGGAAATAGATTTGTGTACCTGGAACTATAATTAGTGTTAATTTTTGTTAGTTTGTTGTCAATTTTTATTTCAAAAGTTTTATGTCAATTTTTAGTAAACGACATCTAGAGATTGAAAATAGCCAAAATTATCTTCGATTATTATTCCCCAGCCGTCTTTGACACCGTTATTTTCGATCATACGGTATAATTACCTACTACTGAAAATTTGTTTGTTTATTTTTCATGTTATTAGTTTGGGAATGATTGCACGATGCATAAGTAACCATTTTCGAAGCTTATTACATAGATTTACAGTAAGCTTCTGTAATTTAAGTCCTGATGCAATTGTTTTCCTGACATATATACTGTGCATAAAACCAATAATAAAATAAACAAGAAATTATATTAAATAATCACAAAAAAACGCAAAATTAAAGCTTACCTCATAGATAAAGGCACTTAACCTATGACTGACTGAGAGTATAACTAATGTGGTAGGAAATAATACAAAAATTCTGTCGTGATGATTTGATCCAACTGCTACACTTCCCATGTAGATGATCTCACCTAGCAAAGAAAGAAGAATGTTCATAAAACAACCATAAGAATATATAAATAAATTTGGGGTTATGACCAGACGGGTATATTACCTAAACTTGTAAGACTAGGTCCTTCCCATCCTCTAACAGGACCAGTTAATACTTGTAGCTCAAGTTCCTTCTGTCTTCTAGTAGCTGTGCAAGTGGTCTAAATAAATAAGTCAAAACTAAGAACTGCAAAGCACATCAATAATTTATAATACGAAACAATTCAAAATGATTGAAATGGTTGGCTATTGTGACTTTGCTCATTTGGTTGCCATCAGCTATTATCAATAGCGCTAAAATAATCGAAATAGTAAATAATTGAGTATTTTTTAATGATAATTTAATTTAGTTTTAATGATAATTTAATTAGCGTTTTTAGTAGTGATTAAAAAAACGATTAATTTCAATAATCGAGTATTCGAGTTTTAAGCGATTGCAATAACCGAGCGATCACTAGAGCGAAATATCGCTCGTATTTAAAAATACGGTTTTTCGTCCGTCGCGCGTCGCTTGTTGTAAGTACTCGTTAACGCCAAGCGCCAAGCAGTAAGTTGCGTGCGCAAGGCACATATTCTTTCGGTAATGAATGGCAAGTAGCAAGCGACGAGCGATTCGCTTGATCGCTTGATTTAGTTTTATTTCAAAGCATTGTCGATGTAGGTCGTAAAATTTTGTCCCTCAGATACGCAACGGATAAATATACAGGGTGGTCCGAACTGTATTCCGGAAACTTCGGTAGCATATTCTGCAGATAAAATAATTAAAAATGTTTGTATAAATGTATGTCCTAAAATGCTTAGAGATACAGGGCGTAGAAGTTTCATTTTTATTTCGATTTTTTTCAAATAATTTCTGAAGTAACGTCAATATTTGGATGAAGATTGGTATCTAGTAGTTTTTTGATATAAGAAATTTGATTTTGATGTCAATATGACTCCTACTAGTAGAGGGTGCCACCTACATATTTTTTCACTGGTTTGAAGAGTAATACCTTTTCGTCCGTACCTGTATAAAACTACTGAGTAAAAAATATACATTTACGACGTTTTTTACATGAAAAAGGTCTCTTGGTAAAAATCGCTACGAGTAATGGTTTTCGAGATATTTGGAATCGAAATTATCAATACCGGTCATCGTTGACATAAATTATAGTCTGTCCAACGACAAAATCCTTGACAGTGATAGATGTGTCTGTCATTTTAATTTCAAAGTAGTTTATTTTATTTTACAAAGAAATAAGTTGGTACAATTGGAACGCATAATGTTTAAATTTTGAGTGACAAGTGATTACTTCAAAATATTGTGAAAAAAAAACTGTATAAAACTGAAAAAATCTAATTTTGGTTAATTAACTTTAATCTTAATTTGTTTTTGCAGTACTAAAATGTATTATTTACCTATCGTGTGGTGTTATTTTACAGATAATCCAGTTTTTGGTACCATATTCGAGATGGTATACAACTTTATTTGTGGCAAATACAACTCTTTGGCCATAGTCCCTGGCAAACTGTGTCTCTGGTGGTCTCTGTGCACCGAATATTAACCGTAAACTATGGTCTGGATTAACACTTAATTTTCCCTCGAGTTTTCCTCCACTTAATTTTAAAAAACACGAACACAAGTAACAACACAGTCCAAAATGCAAAATGCAAAACATTTATATAGGTATCGAAGTCATCTGCTTTTTTTTTGCCATCGTCTGTCGAAATCTTACGGAAGAAAAAAAAAAGAGTATAACATGTTGACTAAATAGTTATTAGACTGAAATCATAAATTTGAAATGTTTTTGTGCCAAAAGTTCAACAGAAACTGTTTTATCATCATTTTTTGCAGAAAAATTTATGATTAATTTAAAAAAATAAAAATTTCCTAAATTTATTATTTCAGTGAAATAACTATCTACCCAACGTGTTTATTTTTCGTCAATAATGACATGTATTGTCTATTGCCATTCTCAATATCTTAAGAACGGTTGCTCGTAGTGATTTTTACGAAGAGATATTTTTTACGCAAAAAGTCACAGAGATGTATATTTTTTCGCTCGGTAGTTTTATACAAGTACGGAAAAAAAGTTATTACGCTTTAAAACAGTTAAAACACATGTAGGTGATGCCCTCTACTAGTTAGAAGTCGTATTGACACCAAAATCAAATTTCTCATGTCAAAAAACTTCCAGACACCAATCTTCATCCAAGTATTGACGTTACTTCAGAAATTATTTAGAAAAAATTGAAATAAAAATGAAACTTCTGCACCCTGTATCTTAGAAAGTAAGCATTTTAAGACATACATTTATACGAACTTTTTTACTTATTTTTATCTAAAGAACATGTTGCCGAAGTTTCCGGAATACAATTCGGACCACCCTGTATATACGTACGGAGTATGTCACATTAAAATCGGATTTCAATTTATTTCATTCTAGGATCGTTTGCGTTCGTCGCTCGTAACTCGTCACTTGCATCGCTCGTTAATAATCGAGCGATGTCGGTTATTTCAATAATCGAGTACTCGAGCAAATTTCGAGTTATAACATCACTAGTTTTTACATATTTAATAAATTCTTAAACTCTGCTCAATAAAGGCAATTCTGAATTGAATAAAAGTTACTTCGCCGATTACATTCAATTTTTACCTTGTATTGAATACCGCGACAAAAATACATTATGTTAATATTCTTTTTTATGTTGAACACTGTAGTTGTATTGAAAAATAGTATATTTTACATTGAAAAATATGACAATTTGACAAATATATATCAAAGTTAAAACTTTTAAAATTTACAAGAAGAAAAAGAAAAATAATAATAAAATCCTCTAACACAGTATTGCCAACTATTTCAACCATTGTTGATCGCTCTGTATATGAACTTACAGCTATATCTTTATAAATACTGACGGACCGCTGAGTGTCACCTCTGTCCGGATGACACTCCTCCACGTGTCGTTCGAGTTCTTGTAACATTCCCGAATATTTGTCCAGTCTTCTAAACGGTTTGCTTAACATCGTGGTCAAGACTAAAACACCCGGACTCGCTGCTCCTCTTGACTCCATATATTTCGTCAATTCATCCCTACATAATTCAAATATGTTTAATTAAAAGGATGCACATGATGTTTATTAAACAAATAACCATATTTAGGTCATAGATATCGATAAAAGAAATATATAGTTCGTCCAGCGAGAGGATATCTGATAGTTACAGTTGATATCTGTCATTTTAATAATTTTTTTTTCATTTCATTCATAATTTTTTATCATTGAGATATGATTAAAAATACGATTTGGGCATCTTTTAACCGGCCAGGACAAGACACTAAAAACATTGGACGATCAAATCTATTTTTCCAAGGCCTCTTGATTAAAAATTAGTGTTTTTAACACAGCCATGGCATTCTAGATTGAAATTTAAAATAGAATTTGTTTTTGAGCGACTATGTCAAAAATTGACGTATGATATGTCATTCGATTCAGAGTGTCATTTTCTATCGAATAAAGTAAAAAAATACCGAGGATGCCATTTAAAAATCAAAAGTTGTAGTCATTTCCGGTGAAACCGGAAGTGACCGAAAACGATTGAATACGTCAATCAATCCCAATTTATGTCATATATTAACACACCAAATCTCGTTGTTTTATCTGAAAAAATAAAAAAGTTACAGGGGTGAGCCACTTTTGAGACGCACCCGGTATACACAAAGTTTTACTTGATAGGTTTTGCCTGAACAGGTAACATTGACAGGTAAAAAGTTATGTATAGACGGAGCTTTATATTTAAATGAGGTTTTATTTAATAAAAATTAAAATCAATTTTTTTAAATCCATAAAATGATGTTTTGGTTTTTCAATGGCTATTAATAGTGTTGCGAGCCGGTGTGGACTCGACCTAACCTCACAATATGGCCCGCCCTCGGACGACCTTAACATCGCATAGACACCGCAATGATTCATTCGTTCGAGAAGAATCGAGACCCACTAGAATGGACTAGTACATACGAGAACATTCGAAAACCTTCTCTATGCGCCTAACGATCTATGGACTATTCTAGATTTCTTTTACCTGTCGGTATAAAAGCCGGCGGCAGTGGCCTAGAGGGGGCAGTTATAAAATTATGGAAAATTCCCAGGATTTAATCAATACATTAGAAGATAAGACCATCGAAAATTCTAAAGATATACAGGCCAGCTTTAATAATAAAATAGTAATTTTGGAAGAAAGTTTTAACAATAAAATAACAGAGATTGAGGAAGATTTAAATAGAAAAATCAAAATTTTAAGAGAAGAAATAGCGAAGTCAAATTCACCAAAATGTCAAGAAACATCGGAGGTGCCGAAACTAGGCGAAAATAAGTATATCTCAAAGTCAGTTATTAAGCCTCCACAGTTTGACGGAAAAACCGCTTGGGCCAATTATTTTTGCCAGTTTGAGGCCGCTGCGAGAGCGAACGGATGGACAATCGCTGAAAAGGCTACCGCTTTGACTGTCGCACTGCGAGGAGATGCGACTGATATCCTGCAGACACTGTCACCATCGGAACAGGGAGATTATCAGCAATTGGTACGACATTTAGAAATGAGGTACGGCCAAGCTCATTTGGAACATGTCTATCATTCCCAGCTAAAAATCGCATTCAAAAAGCAAATGAATCTCTGCAGGAGTTTGAAGCCGATGTAGCCCGTCTCGTTCGCCTTGCGTACCCTGCTACGCCCGAGAATGTTATGGAGCGCTTAACAGTACAGGCTTTTATTGATGGTTTACGTGACAACGAGACAAGGCAAACACTTCTTTTAGCTCATCCAACGCATTTGGGAGATGCCCTAGCACGTGCACTGGAATTTGAGGCCGCGAAAGAATGCTCTAGGTCTCTAGGATTTGTACGGGCTGTTGAGGAGAGTTCCGACGATTCCAAAGTGGAAAGGATTGTGCGGAAAGTACTGGATCAGTATATGAGCAAGAAGGGGAACACAATTGAACCAGCGGTGGACATCTTGGTGTTACCAAGACATTTGGCAAGCTGCGTGAACGGTTCTACTGGGTGAACTGCAAAGAAGATGTGAGGGCCTGGTGTAAGAAATGTGACATTTGCGCAGCCATTAATGGGCCACAAAAGCGTGGTAAAGCCCCTATGCGCCAGTACAATGTTGGTAGTCCCTTCGAACGAATAGCGATCGACGTGGCTGGTCCTTTCCCGGAGACGAACGATGGCAACAAATACATTGTGGTAGTAATGGATTACTTCAGCAAATGGGTCGAGGCCTACGCGTTGCCAAATCAAGAAGCGTCCACGATTGCTGATGCCCTTGTTAAAGAATGGATCTGCAGGTTTGGTGTTCCCATGGAGCTTCATTCAGATCAGGGAAGAAACTTTGAGTCCAATCTGTTCCAAGGCGTCTGTGAAGTCCTGAACATCCGCAAGACCAGGACGACTGCTCTACATCCACAATCCGATGGGATGGTTGAACGCATGAACAGAACTATCAACCGTTATCTGGCCAAAGTAGTCTCTGACCACCAAAGAGACTGGGACAAATTTCTTCACCTGTTCCTGTTGGCCTACCGTTCATCCGTCCAAGAATCTACAGGGCAAACTCCAGCCAGCATCGTTATGGGACGGGAAGTGCGCCTACCCTGTGATCTGAAATTTGGTTGCCGACCGGGAGAAGAAGTCGCCGGAGAAGATTATGTCCACACACTACGTCAAAGGATGGACGACATTCATCAGAGAGTCCGCCTAAATATTCAAAGTGCTAGTGACCGAATGAAGGAACACTACGACATTCAAGCTGAGCATGGAGGATACCAACCAGGGAAGTTGGTGTGGCTATATAACCCGCAGAGACGTCGTGGGTTATCTCCGAAGCTACAATCCTCGTGGGAAGGGCCATACGAAGTCATGGATAGAATTAATGACGTCGTATACCGTATCAGAAAATTGCCAAAAGGAAAACCGAGGGTAGTCCATTTCAACCGTTTGAGCCCCTACCAAGGCGAAATAGAAGATCGTGCTGGGACCGTGAGAACCTGCAGCTTTGATCCCCCTGATTCGGAGATGTCCTTTGACGATTTCATGGCCCGATACAACAGCAGTGAGAAGGCTCGCTATGGTGTAACCAAAGAAGATCAACGAGACCTCTTTTCCGTGCCTCCTGATTATTCGCTCGCTCATTGTGTGGCTCGAGATTTGCGGATGTCCAGAGGAATCGCTGCGACGTTCAATGAGAAGTTTGGGCGTGTCGGAGAACTACGCCGACAGGATCCAGAGGTTGGAAGCGTCTTGAGGCTAACCGACAATGCACATGGTCAAGCAAGGCACATCTTCTACCTGGTCACCAAGGAATGGTCCCCGAGTAAGCCGACTTATCTCAATCTATGGAAGACCCTGATTGAACTGAGAGAAGCCCTGCTAAACAACAACATTGCACGATTAGCCATTCCGAAGCTGGCGTGTGGACTCGATGGTTTGAGTTGGCGTACAATCCGGAACATGATTGAAGTCTTGTTCAGATTTACGGGAATCGAGATCCTCGTTTGCTGCTACAACCCAAAGCTGAGATCGGGAGAGAAAACTGTAGACTGCTATTTCTACCAGACTTCGCAATGTACCAGGGGCCAGCTTTGCAATACCTTCATTCACCGTATACATTTCGGGACGAGCATGTGCCTAAGAAGGGGGCAGTGTTGCGAGCCGGTGTGGACTCGACCTAACCTCACAATATGGCCCGCCCTCGGATGACCTTAACATCGCATAGACACTGCCGCAATGATTCATTCGTTCGAGAAGAATCGAGGACCCACTAGAATGGACTAGTACATACGAGAACATTCGGAAAACCTACTCTATGCGCCTAACGATCTATGGACTATTCTAGATTTCTTTTACCTGAAAAATAAAAAGTGGCCTAGGGGGGCAGTTATGAAATATACAGTTGACGCGCTAAAATTCAAAATAAATTTTAGGTTTTAAATCGTTTGTAAATAGACAGGTATAAGTTATTTATCGTTATTGTTTTTGTTAATTAGTGTTAAATAAATAGTGTTTAAATAAATTGTGACTTTCTATCCACACGGAACCGACGAAAAACGTAACAATAGTAAAATAAAAACACTATATCACCACAATAGACCAAAACACTTTTACTTTTACACTGGACGTGCGTTTCGGTAACCATGTCATCAGTAGATGATTAAAACTGCTGAGTTTTAATTATTGGTATTGTGGTGATTTAGTGTTTTATTTTGCTGTGTAACACTAAAGGTTCCAACCCCCCAACTGTAAGGCTATTAATAATTAAAGCAAAAAGCTAAAATGTTATAGACAAATGCGTTACGAAGTGTGGGATCAAAATAAAATTATACGGAGAATTTCCTAAACATTAAAAAGCTATTTCGCATTTACGATTGCTAGCCGTTGACAGGACTAATAAATAGCATTGAAAATAGTTTTAATTGTATAATAGCCAATAAAAATGTAAAACGGTCCACAGACGATAGAACATGTAGTACCAATAAAAATTTTTGGTCGACTAAACTGTTTTATCATATTCTGGCTATATATCGATTGCTTAAAAAGCATGTAGTACAGTTTTTTTGGACGTACAAGTTTGAACGTGTGTATCTACTTGTTATGTTGATTGTTGCTATTATATTTTAGTACCCCTCATTAAGTAAAGTCCACCCAATGAGCCAGGGAAGGTTTCGACAGATGACATCGAAAAATGACAGAAAATACAATTTACGTGAGCAACCAGCTACGCCAAAACACCGGCTTCCGATAGATCACCGAAGTTAAGCAAAGTTAGGCGATGCGAGCAGCTTGGATGGGCGACGGTTGTTCCATGGCAAGACTGTAAAATCTATTGACACATACTGCTCATTCACACCGGTTAAAGACCGAATGAGAGCGGATATCTCGTGAGTAAGTGTTGATTAGACACTCGCCAAGTCGGTGGGTTATTGACAATGATATGGCCGAGGACCGCGGTTCGGATTCCGAGTAAACAAAGTAGGCCCGATCCAGATCAGCCTTAGTAGAAAAAGAAGACGTTAACTTAAAATACTTTTTGGGCAACGGCCCAGCTACATCGAAACACCGGTTCCCATTAGAACACCGAAGTTAAGCGACGGAAGGCGATGCTAGTGGATGGACGGGTGACCGGTTCGAAACTTTGCATCGTGCTGTTGTCCAAGGGAAAAGTGTAAAATCTATTGATACACACTGCTCATTCACGCCTGTTCAAGGCCGGATGAGATCGGATATCTCGTGAGTAAGAGTTAATTTAGACACTTCCTAAGTCGGTAGGCCATTGACCATGATATGGCCGAGGACCGCGGTTCGGATTCCGCGTAAACAAAGTAGGTCCCGTCCAGTTTAGCCATTGCAGCAGAAAGGAGACGTTAACTTGAACCTCACAAAATACTTTTTGTATTATGTTAATTAAAATATGTTAATGAACTGAAATAAAAATCTAATTTCTGATGAGCAATTTGCACCTTGTTTTAAAATAATCGCCCAATCGAGCATGTTTACAAATAAATGCATGAAACTATGAGAGATTTATAATGTGATACCTAGAATACAGGCTTTAATAATTAAGTTTCAAAAATAAACCTTCAACACTTTATATTTTACTAAATTTTGAAAAATAACTTTGTTAAGATGTTAATTAAAATACAACGCTGAAATGTAAAACAAATTTCCACGTCAAATTGTAATAAATTTACTGAAAAAAAATGAATAAAAAATTTACCATACATTTTTATTTTTAAAGGCAAATAGGTCAAAAGAAAACACTGTATCTTTTATTACATCTATTTTTGTCAAAGTATGACACACGGATTCTTTTTGTCGGGATTTACGATATGAAAATATCAATTTAGTATCGCTGGCTCTTTTTGCTTTGCTTATATTACTTTTAAAAATAGAAAAATATGACTGATATTTTTAGATTCCTTTAAACATAACTAGAAATATATTGCGAAAATATTTGAGGTATTGCTATATAACATAATATTTCCTTCTTTGTTTAAAATAATCGGTCCTTTAGCAGCTTGGATTCGTTAAAAAATAGACCGTGCATGATAAAATTTATAAAAAGTAAGAACTATAAATATTATTATTGAAGCTTGATTATTTTAATGGTATTAAAAGAACGCATTAATTTTTTATTCAAAAGCTCTTAAAGTTGAGAGAAGAAATCATTGTTATATCAATGGTTAGGACTATAATCTTACCAACGAAAAGATGCCTTACAGTGACAGTTGTTTTAGTCATTTTAATTCAAGGTAAATTGAATTTTCTGTCATTTTTTTGTCATCTATTGAAAAAAATTATAGAAAAAATTAATTTTTAAATAAAGTAGGTATAGAATTCCGCCATCTTGCGCAAATGCACGCTTATTACTTGTATGTAATAATTGATGTCCACTGCAAACTGTCGGTGACATATAGTTCAGTCATTGATTTCATCAAAAAAGGGGCCTGCTTGGAAAAAAGTCCGGAAGTATTGAAAATTTGTAGGTTTATAGGTTTTGGGGTCCCTAAGTTAAAATCCATAAAATGCACATTTCCAGACTTGCCGCCGGCGCCGCCATCTTGCCAAGATGGCGCCCAAAATTGGTATTTTGAAAATATCTCGAAAATTATGTGTTTTTCGCAAACATTTGTGGAGAGCAAAATTAAAGAGAATTAAATTTCCTATAAAAATGGTTCTAGGAAAATTTTCGCTAAAGTCAACCGTTTAGGCACAAAATTCCTGGAAATTTTACAATTTTGCGCAAAGTATGATATGTATAGTCGATTTTCCGAAATCAAATGTCGACTAGGGTTCACTAAAACTAGTTTTAGTTTAGTTTCTTCAATTTTGTCATGAAACAGTGGCGTATCATTAATTTATAAATAATTGTCGTGCTGGACACATTCACTGCGAATTTACCACCAGGTAACGACCATTGGTCTGGTTGTACCAAAGATGCCGAAAAATGGGGTTGGAAGAAAACAAAAACAGGCATTACTCCAGTCACAACGTTGACAGATCCAGCTCCAAAATTCCTATTGGCATTTTTATCCTGTAAATGCAAAACCAACAACTGTGGTAAAGCCTGCGGATGCAGAAAAGCAGGATTAAAATGTTCAATGATTTGTGCATACTGCAATGGGAAATCCTGTCAATGAATGACATTGAATGACGTCACTGAAGTGTCACTCGACGAATCCGATGAAGAGGAGTTGGACTTGCCTGTAGATATCCCTCTGGCGGCTAAAGATGAAGAGTTGGACGAATTGAGGACCAATTGATGAGCCCAGCACAGCAGACACGATCGACTTTGATCCAGGATTGCCAGGTCTGTCGGGCTTGTGCAGATAAGTTAAAGTTTTTAATTTACTTAGTATGGTAGGCGTCCGGGGAAACCACGTTAAAATAAACGCGCTATGTACTTTACCTCTTGGGTGGTGTGGAAACAAGTACACATTTTCAATAATTAAAATTAATTATTCATAAATTAATGAGCGAATTAATGATACGCAACTGTTTCATGACAAAATTGAAGAAACTAAACTAAAACTAGTTTTAGTGAACCCTAATCGACATTTGATTTCGGAAAATCGACTATAATAAAGGTATCATATTTTACGCAAAACTGTAAAATTTCCAGGGATTTTGTGTCTAAACGGTTGACTTTAGCGAAAATTTTATAGAACCTTTTTTATAGGAATTTTTATTTTATTCTCTTTAATTTTGCTCTCTTCAAATGTTTGCGAAAAACGCATAGTTTTCGAGATATTTACAAAATACCGATTTTGGGCGCCATATTGGCAAGATGGCAGCGCCGGCGGCAAGTCTGGAAATGTGCATTTTATGGATTTTAGTTAGGGACCCCAAAACCTATAAACCTGCAAAGTTTCAAAACTTCCAGACTTTTTTCCAAGCAAAAATCCTCAATGACTGAACTAATACTAGACATTGTAGAATATAAATTCAACAAAAATAGTGGGAAAATAGTATATTCAAATCTAGAAAACTAATAAAATATATAGGAAATACTTGAATAAAAATGTAAACTAAAGCTAGCCGAGTAAAGTAGTCTCTAATAGAATAAATAATTTTAAAGATATTTATTTCAAAACGTACTTGTACTTATCCAAAATCACTACAGCTCTGGGATGCAGCGAACAGTAGGTCTGATGGACAGTCTTCATTTTGGGCGCCCAATTCAAAAATAACTTTCCCACCCTTTGTTCACTTCCAGGTTTGTTGTACTCTTGTTCCACCAGCATGAGCAGCTGTTGGTGGGTCTCAAGAACCTCTTGAATATTGCTGGTAAGTTGTTTATATTCATCCTGGGTTAATCTATAAGAAACATTTTTTTTGTAATTATTAGTGTTTATGTCGTGATGAGTACTGTTACCTCCAAGAACAGTCCAAGATGTCTAGTAAAATAAAAAGTTTAGTAATATTTTCAAATATTTTATAGAAATTGAGGAGTCCCTCATTTTACGCGGCGGTTACACGTTCCTTGAAAACATCACTTAAATAGCAACGGCGTATATTGAAAGAAATTCTCTATTTCAAACTTCTTTGTTCAATTTTCAAAGATCATGTGTTATGGTAAGTCTTTTGTGTACTTTTCAGTGTTAACTCCTGTGGTGCCGGAACTACATCGTCAACTCTTTCTTTAGTTTCGTTTTTATTCTCCACTTCTTTAAGTTCTTCTTCAGTGAGTTCAACAATATTTGATTTAAGTACGTGTATTACATTTTCCTGATGCGTTTATTAAATCCCTCTACATGCAATGACTTTTCTAAATCAGCAAATTCTTTAATTTGGTCTCTGATACCAAGCACCTGCGCATTTATAGGTAGCCAATATCTATGTTGCTGTTTCTTATCCTATGCTACATCTCGACAACTTATTCTGTTCTCGTACTGAGTTCCATACATATAAAGTTTTCCTATCTAAAGGTTGATTCTCACTATACCTTCTGTTTCCATTCCATATCCGTTCCGTATTTTTTATTGTATTGACGCTATACCTAAGTTTCCGTTCCGTATCAGCTCCATACTTTTTACTGTGCAATTTATATCATTACAAAAGTTTTATTTTAAAAATTTGTATCTTTTGAAAAAGGTAATAGATTTAATTAAGAGGTGAAAGAATGAATAAATATCAGCAAAATTTTAAGAGAGCTGGTACAAATGTAAGAACTTGACAACGCTGTTTCCGATACGCTTCAGTCCGTCTGCCAAAAAAATGTACGGAAGTAAAGGATATGGAACGGAAGGAAAACGGAATGGATAGTGTGTATTGCTTATTCATTTACATGATATAATATTTTATGTAAACGGAAGGGAGCTGATATGGAAGGTATAGAGAGAATCAACCTTAATATGGAATTAATAAAACCGCTTATAAGTGAAGTCACCGGTGTCAAAAACACGTATAAGCGAATAAATTGCCGGGTAAAAAGAGAGACTCCTGCAGTTTAAAAAGTTTATCTAAATTAATATAATAATTCTCTAATTATTGTAATATAAATAATTCTCTAATTGTTGAATAAATAATTAAAATGTTTATAATAAAATAACTAAAAGTCTACGGAAGGAGCATATGAGAATTTAATTATTAATAAACCCAAGGAATTCTTCAGAAATAGTTTATTTGGACTTACATTGTATTCTTTTCCAAAGGTTGAAGAAAATTTGTCACTAGACCTTCTAGTTCCTGCACATGCGCCTTTTCGGAATCTATGAGATCTTTCAATACAACACTCTTGTACTGATTTTCTTGTTGTACTGCAGGCTTGGCAACATCTACAAACACAGGACATCATTAACATATCTTACTACAGGGTGAGTCTTAAATAAGTGCAAATATTTTCAGAGCTGGTAGATCTCGATAAAAGAAATATATTTATTCTTTACCGTTTTTCAATAAATCCAAAATAACCGAGTTATTTTACTTTGAAAATTTCCAAAAAAATAATTTTTTGCTAAAATTCTGAGAACCACTGGATCTTTTCGGGATTTTCTTTCTTGTAAATTTAATCTACTACCTATGTTGCCATATTATCAAGAAATTATGTTTTTTAACTAGAAACTAAAAAATACCCAAATTTAAAAAAAAAATTTAGCAAAAAAAACTTCTTTCTTCTGGGGTCGAAATATACTATAGTCTGTCCAACGAGAAGATCCTTGACAGTGATAGATGTGTCTGTCATTTTAATTTCAAAGTAGTTTATTTTATTTTACAAAGAAATAAGTTGGTACAACTGGAACGCATAGCAGGAAATATTTAAAATTTGATTGACAAGATGACAAGTGATTACTTCAAAATATTGTGAAAAAAACTGTATAAAACTGAAAAAAAATGTAATCGATTATTTTATTTAATAAAAACGGTATGTGTTAATACAAAACAAACAAGAACAAGACACTACATACCAAAAAAATATAAAAAAGAACTATTATATTTACTTTCAAGCTTTATGAAACTACCCGCATTTATGATTATATTTATCAATATAACTTATGTACAAATACAAATTTGTAATATTCCACAGGTATAAATAAAACAACATAGGTAAATAATGGGTAAATACAACAAACTATTTTATTAATAATAACACCTACCAAATTTTATACCTTAAAGGTTGATTAATTAACTTTAATCTTAGTTTTTTTAAACCAGTACCTTTTGACATTATTTTTCTGCAGTACTAAAATCCATACCTATCGTGTGATGTCGATATTTTACAGCTACTCCAGTTTTTAGTATGTGTTTAGTTTGATCCTTATATACGAGATGCACTTATCTACGACGAAATGGTATATAAATTTTATCGATGGCAACTTCATTGGTGTATAAGACTTTCTGCCTGGGCAGCGTGTATTAACCATAAACTGTCCTCTGGGTCTACAGTTAATTTTCACTCGATTTTTCCTCCACTTGACTTCAAAAGACACAAAACACACGTAATAATACGAATCAAAATGCATCATCTTTCAAAACGCAGGATATTTAACAAAAGTTGACACAAAATTATAACCTATAAAATTTGGCAAGACTTTGACAAGCGTCAAAAATGACAAAAATCTAAAGGCGAGTTCATACGCATCGGCGTCAGATTTTGTAGTTCATCGTTTCCCGATCCAAGCCAATAAAATTGAAATACGATCTGTCATTTTTTTAAATAGCCAATAAAACTGGTTAAAAACAACAAGACACGACGCATGACGGATTTATATTTAAACCCATCCATAGATAACTTAAAAATTATTAGAAACTTTTTTTAGTAAAATAAATAGATTGGTATGGGACGTCATCTGCTTTTCTTCTGTCATCGTCTGTCGAAATCTTACCTGAGAAAAAAAACAGAGTATACCCCTAAAAATATTTGCACTTATTTAAGACTCACCCTGTATATTCAGAACCTCAAAATTAGTGAATTCAATTATGCTTCATTCAGAACTATGACGTTAGTGGAATAAGATAGCAAATTCCATTATACTTTACACTTAAAAGTTTACGATCATTCACAATATTAAAAAAAACAATTAAAATTAATAGAACATCCTAGGTAGCTTGCGGTAGTCAGTTGTTTCCATAGAGAAAGCCTAATAATTAGCTTTAAAGCAATTAACTTTTTTTTTCTAACAATAATTTCTGTTTACAGATGATAATCAAAGGCCAAAATTACATTACTCATCAACTCATTGCCTTTTAAAGAATATTCTTTAAATGAATATTCTCGTATTCATAAGCTTCTGTTAAGAAAGACGTTTTGAGAATGTCTTCTGTCAAAATAAACTCCAAAAAAAAACAAAGACGAAAACCGGAAATTTCAGTATTTCCGCTATATTTCCGGAAGTGACAAAGATAAGTTCAATTACTAAACGTATTACCATTGGACTCACTAACAGACAACTTTGCTCTAGATCTATTTCCTAGATCCCAATGGCGAGAGTCGAATTTTAAAACACCTTGTATACAATATTATTTATTAGTGCGTGGCCCCACATGATGCGTACAACCTAGCGAAGCGTAGAGCGGAGAGGACCGGGAAGCGTTTAAATGCATTGAAGTAAATGGAAGTAGCCCCACATACAGGTGCGTAGTTTTCTATTGTCCGCTCTACTCCGCTCTACGCGTGCAGCTATGTTAGGCCACAGCCTTAAATACCGTATGATCGAATAAAAACGGCGTCAGCGATGGCTATGAAATGAAGATCGCTGTCATTTTATATGTAAATTTATATGGGAAATGTCATCGATCGTCATTTCCCAGCCAACTGGACGCCGTTTTTTCTCGATCATACGGTAGTTCTTTCAGAGTAAGTAGATCGCCGAGAATCGACAGAAACCGTCGGCTCTTTTGATGTGATGGGACCAAATTTTCTTTCTCTCTCTTTTGACTTGTTTGACAGATAGACTACGTAATTAACTGCTCAACTTATGAAGTGGTCCTATAAACATGGTATACACTGCTCATAATTTGAAGTTGAATTAATTATAAAGTTTTATACATATTTTTTTGTTTTGTTTTATCCATATTTCTAAATTTGAATGTATAAAATATCTTACAGCTAATAAATAATTAAAAAAACGATTCGTTGCCTGAGGTATACTTGAAATAAAGTATACAGAGATATTTGATAAATGGCAACAGTGGCAACTTCGCTTCTTCATATGACAGATAACCTACTTATTTGGCGCAGCCGCAAAGAAAATTGAAAACGGGACTGTCGCTACTCGTCGTTTACTTACTCTGGTTCTTTTCAATTTACCTTTACATTCCTTTACGTAATTGCTAGGGAACCATCCTGTCTTGTCATTGAGGGTACCCTCCCACCAACCATCATCTTTCTGCGTTACAGTGATCACATCTCCTTTCTTAAAACACAACTGAAACACTTTCATTATTAAAAAAACACCCAAATCACACTCGCGTGATAATTAGACTTTGAATTTCAAAATTAATTTAAAAAAACTAAACAACATGACGTAAAATCATTCCTCCATCTTTTTTGTAAACACTTCTTTAATTAAAAATGTTTATTTTTTGGTACAATAATTATCAACAGTTGACAACCCATTGACGAACTTTTGATTACTTAATTGTAGAGCGATATAAAAAATGAGAGAAGATCTATTATGATGTTTGGATTATTTTTAAAATTAATTCTGATCTGATAAGATCGTGCAATAAATTTTTGCGTGCCTATAGATTAAAGATAAATTTTATCGATATTATTATAATGAATGAGTCCAAGACAATTGTTATCAGTTTCAAATTGTTTAAACATGTGTTCGTGGGTAATAAATATATCAGTATGGGATAATCTCCCTTTACAATTAGTTGAATGCTAAAAACATAAATAAATAAAAAATCCTATTTTTTTCTGCAAGGTATCAGTTAAGCTTCATTCAGAACCTCGCAATTAGCGGAATAAATTAGTGGTTTTAATTACACTTTATACTTTTTAGTTTACGATCATTCACACTATTTAAAAAAACACAATTAAAATTAATAGAATATCTCAGCAATAACTTGCGTTAGTCAGTTAAAATATCTTTAGTCTTATAAAACAATCAACTTTTGATTTCTAACCACAATTTCTCTTGACGGAAGATAATCAAAGGCCAAAATGACATTTCTCGTAAATTATGAAGTATACCTACTTAGTAGAAAAGTTAAAAGTTTGATATCTTTTTCTACTAATTTAAAATGTCTGCCACTAATTTTGACGTTCTGAATGCTTAAGAAGCTTCATTCAGAACATCGCAATTCGCAGAATAAATTAGTGGTTTCAATTAGCGTAGCACTTTGTTCCTCTAATTTGAATGTAAGTATTCAGAACGTTAAAATTAGTGGCAGGAATTTTCAATTAGTGGAAAAAGTTAACAAACTTTTGACTTTTACACTAATTATACTTTGGCCTTTGATTATCAGCCGTCAAAATGTTGTTAGAAACCAAAGGTTTATTGTTTTATAAGCTAAATATTAGGCTTTCTCTATGGATACAACTGATTACTGCAAGCTGTTGCTTGCAGGATATTCTATTAATTTTAATTGTGTTTTTAGACACTGTGAATGATCGTAAACAAAAAAGTATAAAGTGTAATTGAAACCACTAATTTATTCCACTAAATTGCAAGGTTCAGAATGAAGTTTTACATTAAAATTAAAGGAACAAACTTCTACGCTAACTGAAACCACTAATTTATTCCACTAATTGCGAGGTTCTGAATGAAGCTTTAGATTTTACTTGTCAAAATTCTAAAATTGTCATGGTAACAAAGTTCTTAGAAGGAAACTATAATATATAATCTGTCCACTGAGAGTATACATGACAGCCACAGCTGTCTATAGTTTTAATTCACAGGTAACTTGTTTTTTTTTTTGTAATTTTTTGGATGTCATCTGTCGAAATCTTCCCTGACTGGGCAGATTTTGTAAATGAAATTATTTCATTAAATGCCTTTACTGAAGGAAATCAAAGGTTTATATACAAGAACATGATATATCGTTTGAAAGCAATTTAAATGCCTCTTTTAATATTCTACATTGTAAATTGTATGGGAGGAATCACCGCGACCTTAGAGATCTATTGTGTTCCCCTTTCTTGAGTTATAACTCATCATACAGACTGAAGGCTTTGACAAAAAGTCAGTATCTGAGAGGGTTTTGAAGAGGTTAGTTCTCCATTTCCGAAATCAGATCTAAGTCTATGGCACGAATGGTTGTCGTCTCGGCGCACTCAGTGACGAGGTGTTCTAATATTTCCCCATTTTCCCTACAGGATCTGCATTCGCTGTTGTTTCTTAGCTTCAATCTACTGATAGTGTCCTGTTAAAACCCCGTGACAATCCGGAGATTATACCTACTTAAATGAAGGAAAATCGTTGATTTTTCTCTGAGAAACTTCTTCGAGTGTCTTAGACCGTTGGAGAATTCCCATTCCAGATTACGGATTAGGATGGTGTCTTCCAAGTTCCCGAGTTCTGGTTTAAGTTGGTTTTCACTTGGGAAACAGAACGGTTCTGGTCTAGTTAGTGAAGGGTTCGCTCCTTTTCTAGCTAGATGGTTTGCTTCTTCATTACCTTCTATTCCTTGGTAGGTTGGCACCCAGTGTAGGAGGACTTTATTTTCTTGTTCTGAATGAAGCTTTAGATTTTACTTGTCAAAATTCTAAAATTGTCATGGTAACAAAGTTCTTAGAAAAAAACTATAATATATAATCTGTCCACTGAGAGTATACATGAAAGTCACAGCTGTCTATAGTTTTAATTCACAGGTAACTTGTTTTTTTTGTAATTTTTTGGATGTCATCTGTCGAAATCTTCCCTGACTGGGCAGATTTTGTAAATGAAATTATTTCATTAAATGCCTTTACTGAAGGAAATCAAAGGTTTATATACAAGAACATGATATATCGTTTGAAAGCAATTTAAATGCCTCTTTTAATATTCTACATTGTAAATTGTATGGGAGGAATCACCGCGACCTTAGAGATCTATTGTGTTCCCCTTTCTTGAGTTACAACTCATCATACAGACTGAAGGCTTTGACAAGTCAGTATCTGAGAGGGTTTTGAAGAGGTTAGTTCTCCATTTCCGAAATCAGATCTAAGTCTATGGCACGAATGGTTGTCGTGTCGGCGCACTCAGTGACGAGGTGTTCTAGTATTTCCCCGTTTTCCCTACAGGATCTGCATTCGCTGTTGTTTCTTAGCTTCAATCTACTGATAGTGTCCTGTTAAAACCCCGTGACACTCCGGAGATTGTACCTACTTAAATGAAGGAAAATCGTTGATTTTTTCTCTGAGAAACTTCTTCGAGTGTCTTAGACCGTTGGAGAATTCCCATTCCAGATTACGGATTAGGATGGTGTCTTCCAAGTTCCCGAGTTCTGGTTTAAGTTGGTTTTCACTTGGGAAACAGAACGGTTCTGGTCTAGTTAGTAAAGGGTTCGCTCCTTTTCTAGCTAGATGGTTTGCTTCTTCATTACCTTCTATTCCTTGGTAGGTTGGCACCCAGTGTAGGAGGACTTTATTTTCTTTGTAGGAGGACTTTATTTTCTTTGTTCTGAATGAAGCTTTAGATTTTACTTGTCAAAATTCTAAAATTGTCATGGTAACAAAGTTCTTAGAAAAAAACTATAATATATAATCTGTCCACTGAGAGTATACATGACAATCACAGCTGTCTATAGTTTTAATTCACAGGTAACTTGTTTTTTTTGTAATTTTTTGGATGTCATCTGTCGAAATCTTCCCTGACTGGGCAGATTTTGTAAATGAAATTATTTCATTAAATGCCTTTACTGAAGGAAATCAAAGGTTTATATACAAGAACATGATATATCGTTTGAAAGCAATTTAAATGCCTCTTTTAATATTCTACATTGTAAATTGTATGGGAGGAATCACCGCGACCTTAGAGATCTATTGTGTTCCCCTTTCTTGAGTTACAACTCATCATACAGACTGAAGGCTTTGACAAAAGTCAGTATCTGAGAGGGTTTTGAAGAGGTTAGTTCTCCATTTCCGAAATCAGATCTAAGTCTATGGCACGAATGGTTGTCGTGTCGGCGCACTCAGTGACGAGGTGTTCTAGTATTTCCCCGTTTTCCCTACAGGATCTGCATTCGCTGTTGTTTCTTAGCTTCAATCTACTGATAGTGTCCTGTTAAAACCCCGTGACAATCCGGAGATTGTACCTACTTAAATGAAGGAAAATCGTTGATTTTTCTCTGAGAAACTTCTTCGAGTGTCTTAGACCGTTGGAGAATTCCCATTCCAGATTACGGATTAGGATGGTGTCTTCCAAGTTCCCGAGTTCTGGTTTAAGTTGGTTTTCACTTGGGAAACAGAACGGTTCTGGTCTAGTTAGTAAAGGGTTCGCTCCTTTTCTAGCTAGATGGTTTGCTTCTTCATTACCTTCTATTCCTTGGTAGGTTGGCACCCAGTGTAGGAGGACTTTATTTTCTTTGTAGGAGGACTTTATTTTCTTGTTCTGAATGAAGCTTTAGATTTTACTTGTCAAAATTCTAAAATTGTCATGGTAACAAAGTTCTTAGAAAAAAACTATAATATATAATCTGTCCACTGAGAGTATACATGACAATCACAGCTGTCTATAGTTTTAATTCACAGGTAACTTGTTTTTTTTGTAATTTTTTGGATGTCATCTGTCGAAATCTTCCCTGACTGGGCAGATTTTGTAAATGAAATTATTTCATTAAATGCCTTTTACTGAAGGAAATCAAAGGTTTATATACAAGAACATGATATATCGTTTGAAAGCAATTTAAATGCCTTTTAATATTCTACATTGTAAATTGTATGGGAGGAATCACCGCGACCTTAGAGATCTATTGTGTTCCCCTTTCTTGAGTTACAACTCATCATACAGACTGAAGGCTTTGACAAGTCAGTATCTGAGAGGGTTTTGAAGAGGTTAGTTCTCCATTTCCGAAATCAGATCTAAGTCTATGGCACGAATGGTTGTCGTCTCGGCGCACTCAGTGACGAGGTGTTCTAGTATTTCCCCGTTTTCCCTACAGGATCTGCATTCGCTGTTGTTTCTTAGCTTCAATCTACTGATAGTGTCCTGTTAAAACCCCGTGACAATCCGGAGATTGTACCTACTTAAATGAAGGAAAATCGTTGATTTTTCTGAGAAACTTCTTCGAGTGTCTTAGACCGTTGGAGAATTCCCATTCCAGATTACGGATTAGGATGGTGTCTTCCAAGTTCCCGAGTTCTGGTTTAAGTTGGTTTTCACTTGGGAAACAGAACGGTTCTGGTCTAGTTAGTGAAGGGTTCGCTCCTTTTCTAGCTAGATGGTTTGCTTCTTCATTACCTTCTATTCCTTGGTAGGTTGGCACCCAGTGTAGGAGG